CATTTTGGAGTGAAAAATGAGTTTTTCGGTTGGAGATGCCCTAGTAGCAGGTGACGGGTGTGGAAGCCTGGGTCGGCGTGAGGGGTTCGACTGCGATCGAGCAGTGGGTTTGCAGGATATTCCTAGATTTTGGATGGGAGCTGTGACGAGGAGGAAGGATCAATCACTATGGCTTGTAAGGGCGAAGAACAAAAAATCATTCATGTGCAATAGGAAGCAGAGAGTGTGAGTGGGAGAGAAATGAGCGTATGCTACGAAAATAAGAGAGCAAGATTTTTGTTTTCGATCACTCGTTGTCGGTCGACGTGAATAGACTGTAGTGCCGCATTGCAGGGAGTGGGGTGGCCGAATCGCGGGATTTGAGCATGATCTCGGCAAGGATAAGGGATGGGGCGCGACTCTACAGCGATTTCGGCATGACTTTAGGAGCTAACGTGGAGGTCAACAATTCTGCGCCATAAAGCATTACGGGTCTCACCACCATCTTATAAAATTTCCCCTAAATTTCCCCTTAAGTTTGAGTGATACTTTTCTATCACACAACAAATCTGAAGCATTCCTTCACTTCAACCACCCAACTTGAATTCTAGTCATAATATCCACATCTATATCATCATTACTCTGAACAATAGACCCAAGATATCATGTTAGTTTACTCGCTAGAATGAGAAGGATGACTTCTAAAATTTAAGGGAAAAAAAAGGTTCAAAAGAATGTATTCAACTGTTTTTATGATATTACCATTCCTCTAATCATGCATTTCCAGGTTACTGTATCATTGCATTTAGTTCGAAATATGGTTGCTCTATTAACGATGGCTGTATAGCAACAATCCTTCTCATTTTATGATGAATTTGATAATACCAAAATAATTGTTCATCTGCTTTGCGTTCCCTTCTCTGTACCAAAGCTGCTTTTTTTCTTCACCAAAGAATGTTGCTTTGACGAGCATAATCTCCCTGACTAGGCTGCATCGGAATCTTGGGGCTTGTCAACCAGTTTCATTAGTGTCATATTACTGCCAATTATTGGAAATGCAGCTGAACATGCTGGTGCAATCATTTTTGCTTTAAAGAACAAACTGGTATGCCACTATCAGACATCAGGTTTTTACACATGTTTATAATAAAGATGATATTTACCAGGAGTAGATGTTCATTTGGTGCAGGACATTACCCTTGGAGTAACATTGGGTTCAGCAACTCAGATTTCCATGTTTGTGGTAGGGATTTAAAAAGAATTCAATAAATCTATAAAACATCTTTCCTTCTATTATCATATCTGTAGGTTACATACCAACTTTAATGATGTTTGCCATATGTTACAGGTCCCATTAAGTGTAATTATGGCATGGATAATGGGCATGCAAATGGATCTTGATTTTAAGCTCCTGGAGACTGGTTCTTTGGTTGGCTCAATTTTAATTACATTATTTTCATTACGGGTGAGGGAATTATCTATTTATATGCAGTCTTGCATGCATAATTTCTCCATGCCTCCTTGACTGAATTACATTTTCATTTAGAACTGAAGTGCCAAATACTTGAACCAATTCTTCTGCAAACTGTGTATTGGCAGCTATTGCTAAAATAATTATATATTGTTTGCTTATTGATCAATGAATTTTTTAATGGCTTTTATACACGTGGAAATGATCAATTTGAAGTGCATTATTCTTCTTATACAGTCAGAAATAACATTTCAATTTTTGCAGGATGGAACCTCACACTATCTGAAGGGATTTGTGCTTGTTCTTGCTTACCTGGTTATTGGCGCTTGTTTTTTTGTTCTTAGAACCCCATCAGGTAATTATTATTCAGTGGAAATTGCTGAATAGAAATCCTATTTTTCTTTTCCACAGGATCCTACGCTTGCATTTTCTAACTTGAATGTTTTCTGCCATCTTCATACGCGTATTAGACCACGCTAATGGTGTAAATCTTAATGCAATTCCGACAATCTCAAGCATTATGGTGGCTTAATTGGCTGAAGCCTGGAGGCAAGTTTCACGTTCTCTATATAGCTACCTATTGCTTCATCCTGGTTTATCAGTAATGAATTTTTGTGCTTTTGGTAAATTTGAATGTTTTTCGCTGGTTTTGCAGTGAAGTTTAAACCACTCAGTCAAATTTTGCCGTCCAACCTTTACAGAAGATTTCTCATGTCAAAATTATTTCAGTGGTTTGATTTTGGTGGAGAGCATTTGGCAGTAAATCAGTGTAGAGATGACATTTTGAATGGTATGCACCTCCCCAATGTATAATTTCCTATGTTCTTGTAAATTATTATCCATCTTCTTTGTAGTTTTGAAGGTAATATTGATTTTTTTTTATTATTTATTATCCATCATTTCTTTCAAATTGCACTACAAGGTAGGCAACAATTCCTTTGATGCTTCGCACTGACACCGCAAGTTTTGCTTCTGATTTATTGCACTGTTTCGAAGTTCTAAAGACTTGTTTTTGCTCTTCAAACTTATTTTTTATTGTAAGTTGTCTGGATTGATTATGAGAAATTTTACTTTACATCCCTTTTAATGTGTTTAGTTTGCTAAATATGCCCCCTTAATTTCTTACGTGGACAATATGACTCAAAATACTTTTTGGATAAAAATACTCTCAATGAGTGATAACTTATTGTATTTGTAGACTGTTTATTGGCTTTACTTACACCCCTATCAGATCTACTTGATCAATTATGTGCATTATAAGTCAGATAAATCAAATTTCTCTGATTATTATGTAAAAATAGAATGAATATTATGCAAAATATTCTTCTCAGGTTGATTATTTAGGCTTAGCTGGTAAGATGCTAATTAATGGTGCCTCGTTTTTCTCACTTCTCTTAAAGTACACTTAGTGCATTGCAATTTAAATATATTAAATTAATATTATAAATATGTTGAAAAATTAAAATATATAGCTAGATATATAGATTGAAATTTTTTCTTAATTATGATAGAATTTAGCCAAATAATTTAAATAATATCTATTGTTCAGAGTGATGGTGAAATAGATAGGGATATTATTAACAAAATTCAAGTTGGATGGTTGAAGTGGAGGAATGCATTGGGCTTGTTGTGTGGTAGAAAAGTCCCCTCAAACTTAAGGGAAAATTCTATAAGATGGTGGTGAGACCTGCAAGTTTTATGGTGCCGAATGTTGGCCATTAAAAGGAAGCATAATACTAAGTAGTGTTGTAGAGATGATGATGCTCAGGTGGATGAGTGGCTTTACTCTTAGAGATAGGATATGAAATGAGCATATTCGTGAAAAGGCTGTAGTAGCTCCAATGGAAGGTAAGATTAGAGAGAGTCGCCTTAGATGGTTTGGTCACATAAAACGGGGGTTTTCCGATGGAGTAATTATTACGTTCCGACAAAAAACCGAAAATCCGGACGTATACCGAGCAATACCGAGTTTTAGGTGACGTGGCGTGTGTTTATTGGTCTCTGGACGCGTCAGGTGACCTGACGTAATAATTGCTCCTTCCGATGATCCTGTTAGGAAAGTAGGGGTATTAGATTTGACTTATATGTTAAGAAAGGTAGAGGTAAACCTAAAACGACTTGATTAGAGAATATTAGAAATGATCTTTCCTTATTAGACTTAAACGAGAATTTGACCTTTAATAAAACACAATGGAGGAAAAAGAATTCATGTAGCCGACCCCATGTAGTGGGACAAAGACTTGATGTTTTTGTTGTTCTCAATAAATTGAGAAGGTTTGGAAGTCCATACCAATCCAAAAAATAGGACAAATTCGATAAAAAAAAAAACCAGGACAAATAGATGTTCTGGCAGTAGTGCTGGACGAAAATCCCCTCCTGCTGGCTGCTGCGTTTGCCATTCTAAATAGGAAGAGCCGAAGAGTGAGTCTCCATTCTAAATAGGAAAGAGCCGAAGAGCGAGTCGGAGAGGGATAGGGAAAGGCGAATATAATATGAATATAGAATATTAGGATGAAAAAGAAAAAAAAGCTTGATTAGTATGTACTTCATAATTACTATTAATTATTTGTTATTCCCAAAATTAGTGGGGCTGATGCCCCCATGGCCCCCACACTGCATTCGCCGCTGTTTGTAGACTGCTTATTAGACTTGTAAGACTTTTGAGACTTGAAATTATTCAAACTGGTTCGAGACTAAGGCTTCGTTTGGGACAACTTTTTTTGCTGCATCTTAAAGCGGCTTTTTAGTACAAAAAGAAAAAATTTTGTACTAAAAAGTTGCTTTGAGAAGTAATAAGGAAGCCGTCCCAAACGATACCTAAGTTTGAATATGTGCTCAAGCTAGGGATTCAAACTTCCAGCCTCTAGTGAGCTCCTCTTATCCTTCACACCATCGTTTCCATCAATGCCTACCTTTTGCGAGCTCTTCTTCTCCTTCACATGCCAGCAAACATGTTAATGCATGCCTCCAACAAGCTTTCGTTATAACTCCTAGTCTCCTTCACACTAATAGTCTCGGTGATGTCTACGCTCAGTGAACTCTTCTGCTTCATGTGTCACTAGTCCTAATGATGCCTGCCCCCAATTATTTGACCCTAGGTTTGAAACAATTTTAAAGTAAAGTTTGAATATTTAATAAGTCAAATGAGGCCGTTCATGAATACAAAAGGTTATCCCGCAATTGAGATAATTTGTCCAAAATGAACTCCTAAGTAAATATATCTAAATGAACATATAGCAGATATTAGGGGTATAAACGAGTCGAGTAGTGACATTATCAGGCTCGGCTCGTCAGTCAGAACTTTGGCTCGAACTCGAGCTTGAGCTCGAGCTCGACTCATCATAGTGCAGATTGACTCATCGAGTGGCTCGATCTCGACTTGTATGATTTTCCCGCTCTATGTTTTGAATTCCCACTTCCGCAGTCTGCTCATTTCGAACTCACGCACACCGCCTCGGTTCGCCTTGATTCACCTCTGTCTTGTTGAGCGTACAAGGCCTGAAGGCCTCGATCCGCACGCACGTTGCTCAGTCCCGAGGTCCGCCTTCATCTTGTTGAGCGCAGGTGACACGAGACAGACTTCTGCCTCTTCACTCTTCTCACTCGGTCTCGGTCCGCTTAATCAAGTCGGCTCAACAAGCTCGCGAGTCGAGTCTGGTTGTGCTCAAACTTGAACTCGTATAATATATGAGCTCGATTGTAAGCTTAAACTTGACTCTTGAGCTCAATAAGCTCGGCTCGCAAGCCCATAAAAGAGTCGAGCTCAAACCGGCTCACAAATCGGCTTGGCTCACTTACACCCTAGCATATATACTTGATCAATTATGTGCATTATAAGTTAGATAAATCAAAATTCTCTAATTATCTTGTAAAAAATAGAATTGATACGTTATCAAAAATTTATCTTGATCGGGCACGAATCTCGATGCAAAACCAAGTTGGAAACTTAAAAAATTAAATCCGGGAGCATCCGAACTCCGATTTCAACGAGCTTACAGTCAAACTGAGCGTCTCGGAAATACGAACCCAACGACACCAAGATCAACCCAATTCGAGCCCAAATGAGTCTGAATCAAGGACCCGAAGCTCTTTTAGAAGGTTCAAACCGCAATTTGAGTTACCAAACGGTCTTCGATTTTAAAGAGCTTATACTCGAATCGAGAGGCTCGACAAGACGAATCCAACGAGCCCAAGATCGCTGAATTCCGACATCATTAAGGCTCCCAAATGGCCAACGAACGGTGCACGGTCGTAGGATTCAATATCGGCCGTCCATTTGACCACTCCCTATTCGCCCTTGATCTCACACCTATTTATGGACCATGCCACTCCAGAAAATCTATAAATAGAGCCCTCATTCTTCACAAAAGGGGATCCAAGCAAGAGAGAGAAGAAGAGAAGAGAAGGAAGGAGTTCCTCCTCGACAGCCGCCGAACCACCGCCGGACCACCGCAGAACCTCGCCGGACCACCGCAGGAATCTCGTCGGACCACCGCCGGACCACCGCAGGAACCTCGCCGGACCACCACAAAACCTCGCCGGACCACCACCTTAAGACCCGACGTTCATCCCCTGCGTCCTGCCAAAGACCCGATGTCTTGTTCAAGGCCCGACACTCAGTCCCTACGTCCTGCCAAAGACCCGACGTCTTATTCAAGGCCTGACACTCAGTCCCTACTTCCTGCCAAAGACCCGACGTCTTGTTCAAGGCCCGACGTTAAGTCCCGACGTCCTGCTGAAGACCCGACGTCCTGCTGAAGACCTTGAGTAGGAAGAAATTGCACGGGTCGTGGGGAAGAGAAGGCGGAGCGCCGGCAAGCGGTTCAGGAACGAGAAAGAGAAGTAGCATTTTGTGAATATCTTGATCCACTGCGGCGTCGCGCAGCCGGGCGACGGGAGGCAAGGAGGAAGCTACCATTACTCAGATCCATAATTAATGAAAAACGTTGAAGGCACCGAAAGAGAAAGGAGAAGAGATAGGTGACTCCGAAGTCAAGAGAATGTCGCAACCTTGAAGCAGCCAACCATCTGGCCCACGCGGCGCCAAAGAAACCCACTTGCTCGCCAGAAGGCATTGGCTGAGCTCAGTCGCCAAACGGATTCTAGCGACCGCCGCAGGATTGGTCGTCGGCCTCGTCAAGCCTGCCCAATGGCAGCAGCCCTACAAAGATAGAGAATTCGGCTACCTGTTAGCCCAGCTAGCCTTGCTTCGGCCTTTCTGAGTCGAAAGTTTACTTTGGCTCGCGATCTTGTCGCGGTTTCGTGGGTCGAACGGGAGAACGTGAGGTTAATTCAGGACATTTGGGTAAGGAAATACCGTGTTTTTTAAACGGAGAAGTAGTGGCTGAATAAATTTCATAACTGCCAAATATACTGGTTTTATATAAAGTTATTACGAATAAATTTGTCTTCCAAACATAATATCATCGAACTTGATTAATAACTTATTCAAATGGAAAACTGAAAAAAATAAGCCTAAATCAAAGGAGGCCTAAGTCCCTCGAACTCTTTCTTCATACCCTCATATGATGCCTATTCTCGATTGAATTTCTCACATTGTGAACTTCCTTATGAGAGTTTGAGTTGATCTCGATTAATTAAATGATATATTTATGTAAATTGTAAAAATTAAGTTTTAAATATATACAATGGTGAAAAGATTTGTGAAGTGCTATAGTTTATAAAATCTCCTAGTTATAATTATGAGAATTTATAATTTATTAAATTTAGTTTTGGAGCAGATATGCGTACAGATATAATTTGCAACAACATAATCTCTAAAATTTAGCAATTTAATAATTTAAATTTATTCCAATATTGGTTGGCGGGCTATAAGTATACGCGCGCATAGAGTTATAAAAGCTCTTGTTCTCAGTCGTTGTGAGGTGACGCGAGATCCCAAGCACACAAACAAAAGAAAAATAAGTATAACACCAGGATTTTATGTTGGAACCCTGAAAGGAAAAGAGATTACGAGGGGCCCATGCCCAGTTGGAAGAAATTCCACTAAATTTATTTTCGCAGTCTTTATATACAATGAAGCCCTTCTTTAGAGGAGGAAGAGCCTATCTTACATTGCTATATCTTAATAGTACATTACATGATGGGAATACAAAAGAAATCACTGTTGATGGTATTTTTTTTGGTCGGAAGGAACTTATAGTCGGTGGGCACGAGGTCTAAGGAACTCAAATAAACAGAGTCATGCAGAATCATAAATCTTGAAAGAAAAGTAAATTAGTACAATAACATATATCAAAGGTACTGTGAAGCGTGTAAGCTAAACATATCAAGTGGAAGAATCAATTAAACGGTATAGAGAAATTTCGTAAAGCCCAACTGAATCAATAACGGCGATTCCAAACTCTACAAGTAGTATTCGTATCATAAAGCGCTAGTTTAGATCAGAGAATTCAGTAACATGTAGACATCTTCTAATATATTAAAATCGTTAAGAATCTTCGTATCGGAATATCAAACTCTAAATCAGATCATATAACATCAATGCGTATAAAAAGACATTCATTGGTTCAATAATAAGTCAGGTCAGTATAAAAACGTCAAATCAATACTACGGTTCGTAGCTGCTTGAAATCAAGATCAATGAAGAATAAAAATCATAACACCTCGTTCTGAAAAGTCGAGTAATGGAATCAAATAAGGTCGTAGCAGAAACATAATCAAAGAATGTCACACTTTGAGCAGAATTCAAGGATTAGATATCATATTCCAGTGCTCATGTGAATCG